AAAACTTGCACTAAATTCATTAAGCCACTATTTCAAAATTCTGTTCTCCCAAAGCAAACTGAACTCTTCCAGGATAACATTATCAACTATTAAATGCATGAGTTTCTCTTCCTGTATTTCTATACAAACATACAATTGGATTATATGTACTATGTTTCCTTATACCTACCTACTACTAAGTACATATGTACACAGATTATAGAACTCTGTTCTGAAATGTGATCACAGATGTGGATGAATTTTTGTTCATTCATTCTCTGTTAAAGGTTTGTAGGACCACACATTTTTTCTAACTTTCTTTTCTTCTGCTTTTATTAATAACAAAAATAAGCAAACAGTAGGTATCTTGATACTTTCTCCTAGTCTGATTGTGGATATCTTCTTTTGTGCACAGTTCTTCAAGGTTAAGGAAGCTCTGTTAGCAGCAGTCTAGCAGTTTTCCTTCTCTATGGAAAAATGGTCCCATGGTATCTTTTTCCACATTATCTATCTGATGCAATCGTATCAAAACAAAACTTTCCGTATCTGAGATGTGCCCTCTGCATGCTAGTTTCTTCAACAGCGCCACAGATGAGCATACCAAAATGAAAAGGGCACCACTGAGAAGTGCTGTCAATGCTGTTGCAGGCAGCGAGCGCAGACTCTGCCATTGAGATGAAACCTCTGTGAGGTAACAGATCCAGCAGGTTCCAGTGGCACTTCTGGCTCCTCGGCCTCCAGTCCTGCTAGTAGCTTCTGGGACCCCCCCCTTGTGCATTTCACAACCCACAGAATAAGGTTAGTTGACATTTTGATGTGCAGTGTCTACAGTTAAAGAGAACATTCAGATCACAAATCCTGAATTAACACAGCTCAGTCCAGGCGCTGTAATTGAGCTCTGTAACTCAGTAACGCCATCTCTCAATGTTAAAAACGAGCCAGGCAATCCTCTAAAAAAGTCTGAGATGTAAAAATAATGATTGTTTAAAAAGATATATTTTTAGGTATCTTACATAGATAGTTTTGTTTATAACATTTTTATTTGCCATTTGGGGATTTTCTGGAATTCCTATGATGCATTTGATTCATGTTTTCAAGATTTTTCTTCACACTCGCAGAAACTAGCAATTTAAGGGAAAACTACTGAGATTCTCTTATAATTATATGATCCTAGGAAATTCATTTTAAAGAAAAATACAAAATCGCAATCCAACAGAAGCGTGGGACTGACAGAAGTTCTGAATGTGAAGAAAGAATATTTGCATATATTAATGCACATATTATACGCTGATCTCCTGATTATTAACACTCACACCTCTTTCCAGTTACATGAATGTTTTGTAAACAATACTGCAATAGCTTTGCGCCTTTTAATTCAGCAGTTTCTCTAGCCAGTAAGCACAACATTAATAACCCTTACTGTTTTATATGCTGAACTCTCAAATCTCAGAAAAGCAGAAGAATGGCATCAGTATAGTAAATAGGTGAACTTTAGAAACAGGCAGAGGGTAAAAAAGTTTTTGCATCCTTTCCCTGTGCTGCTGTCACAAGACTGGCAAGGCTTCAAGTCACTAGTTCAGCTGAAGTAGCCATTTCACAGACATAGAACTAGAATAAATATTCTGTATACATATGCATATGTATACACATGTTTTTGTCTCTCCGTGTTTGTTCCAATGACAGAATAATAAAGCATATATTAAAAACAGTACTTTTTTACTTCGCGGTTAAATTACTTTGAAAGAGATTTTAGAAAAAAGACCCCTCTCCCAAAAAAAGTAGTGCTATATACATCAACATGGCATATGAAAATTGACTGATTTGGCTGCAGAACTGAATGACAAATTACACTGAAATTGTAGTTGCAAGCATAAAAAGGCAAGTCTGCCCCCAGGCTGACCCAAGAGTCCTTTCATTTAGCGCAAAGCCATTACTTTGCTATTAATCCACCCATTTGAAAACTAAAATCACGTGCAATTATGATTACATGCTCATTTAGATGTGCAGTTGCGCATTTTACACGTGCAATATGGGCATCCTCTTTCCTAAATGCCCTATGCTTTGCTGAATCATATCTAGTCCAGGCATTAAGTGCAACTGTGTGGCCCTCTCCAATCTACAGACTCTGGCTGCACAAACAAGTATTTAAAAAAGAAAGAAAGAAAGAATCTGATTAGTTTGCCAAGTAGAAAAAGCCAGTATTTTTCTTCCATAGAAATGTATTTTTTTCATGCATCCAAAAAATCTTTAATATTCATAATGTTATGCTTTATATGATCAATCTCTCTTGACCAGACCTATCATTGGCTCTTAAAAACTAATTATGGCATGTATCAGCTATTTAAGGGAACATTAGATTATCATCATGTTATGTAAGAACACATTAAATGAAGTGCAAATATCCATCAGAGCACTAGGATCATTCCAATATATGAAAAATGGGAGGCAATTGATAATGTGGAAAAAAATATTAACTGTTTTGATTTACTGCAGTCATCAGAATTTTCCCGAGGCACAGCTGAAGTAAGAAATTACTTAAGACAGCAGGTTTGCTGGGATCTACAAAATGGCTGTGGTCCAGCGCTTCTTCTGCCTCCGCCAGGATGCTGGAAAGCTAGCCTTGCTGCTATTGCTGGTATTGCCAAGTCAGGGGTGGCAGCGTGTGAGGTGCTAACTATTCCTGCTGGGATGGTCAGCGCCTCGCAAAAAGAGTCATTACCAGCCTTAACATTCACATCTTCCCAGCAGGTCCAGAAGCAACAAGCTTCCCTATCTGACACACTCGATTTCTTTCTTCTTCCTCCCCTAGCTTCTCCTCCCCTTATATGTTAAAAGCAGCAGGCCAGTCTGTTGCCCCTATGAGACGTACAGGTAAGGTCCTTACTGTTTAATTGAGCCTTAGCATATCTAAACCTGCCTAAATATTGGAAGGATATGTGATACTATACCATGATCCATGATATTATTTCAATATGCTAACCAGAAGAAAATGTTGCATTCATCTTGTGCAAATCTAGTTTGCAACACCTGACACTTCCATCAAAACCAAAACAGCCTTGTAGTAAACTGCACCTTTAGCTTGGTTGCCCCACTGACTTTTCTGTCAGGAACTGTACTGGAGTAGCAGCAGACATTTAATATTTATGTTCACTTACATATTAATCATTGATAATTAGTGCCGATTTAGCTAAGGGGAATGGTTGACATGAATATGGAAGTAACTGTTTTGCAAGATAATCTGGCAAGAATAGATGGCATGGGTCAGAAGAAACATGAAAGCTCTTGGGAGAAGTGAGACTTCAAAGCATACTTTAAAAGGCATCAAGTGGTTAGCTAGTATGCAGACGTACCAAATCAGTGTATTCCAAAAGAACGCGATGATGCGCTGTGAGCTGTACGTTCAGGCAGCGACCAGGGAAGTGAGAGGTGGTATGGGAGCTGGAAGGCCCCAGGAGCATGACATGTACGTACTCGCCTGTGTTTCAAGGACAGTGTCCAGCCCTGCGTATATCTTTGCTGAAGAAAAATTAAAATTAAGAAATTACAGCAAAGACAAACCAGGACGCTCGGTGGAATAAAAATGTCTTCACATAAAACAAATTAGGATTGTAAATCTTAACACTGGCTATTAATAATTAAATAGCTATTATTTACATATTAAGATATTTATATAACTAAATTACATCATTTATCCGTGCTAAGCTCTGGAGGCAGTTAAGTGCTATGAAATATAACCAAAAAAAAAAAAAAGCTAAGGACTTTTCACTAAAATTGTATGCTTAAGTCACATAAGATCTCTGCCTTGAATCTAGCATATTAATATATTTTAGTCTGCCTCCCTGGGAGTTAGCAAGGCTTATCCATGGCTTTGTTGATCAGATGTTGTAGCGAAAATACATTTTAATTTCAAAAGCATGCAAGACAGTGTAACTTATAAAAATGAAAAGCCCTTGCCATTCCCTGGTCCTTCATGCCTGTGTAATTAAGCACCTCTGTTCTCATATAATTTAGTTTTTCACGTTGCTAAGTGCTGTTTGATTTGCAAAACACACCTTACAGTTTTCTCGGTCAGAGGGATTTTCCTCTTCTTTCTGGATGAGTCTAATTGCGGAGGCCTCACTGCTGTGTCCAAAAATTGCCCGTTTTCTCCCGCTTTCTACTGTAAGGTACTGAACAAACGCGACTACACTTTGTAGAATGGATGAGTGACTAAACAGAGTGATTTTTTGAAAGAACGGGCAAATCTGATTAACTACCAAAGAAGGCGGTTAATCTTTTCCGCGTGATTTTCAGAGCAGACGTGCAGCGCTTTCTGTTCAGCGAGTAAGTCCCCCGGACACAAACTGACTTCACGACTGCACTTCTATGGGCAGTACGGGCAGTATGTCACGGCTAGGAGCCGAGGAAGGCCCTCCCCCCGCGACGCACAGCAGGTCTAACACACCACAAAGGTGGGCCATTAGCTCTGTCGCTTCTGGACTGCAAGGTAAACACATTTCAAAAAAATATACACACGCACACACCACCCTGAAAAGGCAAAATTTATAAGGCAAGTGGAAAAAAGAAGCAACTGAAACATGCGAGTGATCCCAGCCCTCCTTTCCAGTCTCTCTCAGGCAGGACAAGTCCCGGCACAAGAAGGAGGCGGCAACAGCACCCGCCTCTCCTGCCCCCTCCGCAGGGCCGCCAAAACCCGCGGGGCTTTGGCTGCCCGCACCCTCGCCCCTAAAAGGCAAAAGAAACCACGCCGCCTTCCCACAGAAGGACACGAAGCCCCCGCTTAGGCTCCAGCCCACCCC